AAACCCTAAACCCTAAACCAAAATCGCGCTGGCGGAAGCTGCAGAGCCCCGGGGCTTCCCCTACTTCAGGGTACGACCGGGAGGTTTGGCAGCATTGCAGAGTGATCCACACACCATCACCTGCTGCTGCCGAAAAAACCTCACGAATTTCGGGTTTAAGGTTTAGGGCTTAAGGCTTAGGGTTGGGGGCTTAACCTAGGGTTGGGGGCTTCGGGCTTAGGGTTGAAGGCCTTCTCTGCTGTGCACCTAGCCGAGCATACACCATGGTAGGAAGAAGTATAATATGCCCTGAGTCCAGATGATAAAGATGTAGCATTGAACATCTAACTATAGCACTCGAAGTTTCTTATAAGCACCGACATCAGGGTAACACCGCGAAATTCCGAGAAACCTTTGTATTGCCCAAAGAGCGCGCCTGGAGAATGCGCTCGTCGGTGCATATGGACTCCAGGAAGATCCTTATGAATCGAAATTAAGGGTTGCATGTCCTTTGCTACGACATCTTTTTTGGAGATCGCGCATCCTGACGGAAGAACGAGCCAAGGCTTCAAAATTTTGGGGTCAGAATCTCAAGGCTTTTAGGGAGCTTAATGTTTAGGGCCCCAGGATGTTCCAGCTTTGCCGTTCCAGCCTTTGGGATTGGCGGCTGCAAAAAAACACATACCCTCTACTGTAGCCTGCATGTGCAGCATAGCTGCTCACAGGCTACCGCCACGACCGCTATGTGCTACGACATACGACACCTTTTCCCAAAAACTCGTAAACCTACAGCCCCAGGCAGCCACTCCCAGGAAGCACCTACGGTCTGGAGAGAGTGGCAGGTTATAAGCTATGCATTTGATGACATAAATCCTGCATTACCCATAATAAGGAATGTACCATAATTCCCGTAGTTTAGGGTCCTTACGGTAATGCAGGATTTCTATCATCAACAGTAGCACTGTCATTCAGCGGCTTCGGGGATGATTTTGGCAAAGGATCACACGCAAAGGCGCGGCATCTGTGTTGTCCTGGTTCGCCTGCGGCCAGAGGACAGGTGGTTCTGTTTGCGTTTAACTTCACAGGTCTTACGGTTGATGATAAATAAATCCTGCTTTAGGGTTTAGGGTTTTAGGGTTTAGGGTTTAGGATTTAGGGTTTAACCCATAATAAGGAATATACCATAATTCCCAAAGCTTAGGGTCCTTAAGGTAATGCAGGATTTATATCATCAACAGTCGGGTTTGAGGGGGGTCGTAATCCCTAAAACCCCCAGGCCCCAACTGCAAAACCTTTCAAATCCGTGAACAGAAGCCCAAAAAGTCTAAACGCTGAATGTTGGGTTTAGGGTTTAGGGTTTAGGGTTTACGGCTAAACCCCACCCACCCTAAGATGAGGGGGGGGTTAACAGTTAGAAAAAGGATTTTGTGCTGTATATTGGTACCCAGATGTTAGAGTCATAGCAACAACCTGACAGCCCTAGCAACGCACTGTGTTCTCAAACTCGACTAAGATTTTGGTGCACACGATAGCTGACATGTATAAGGAACATAGAGTTTAGGGTCTAGGGCTACCCTCTTGCTTAAGCTTACGGCGTATGAGGACAAGAAGGACCTAAACCTAACACCTGAAAGACACCTAAACCCTAAACCCTAAACCTGAAAGACACCTACACCCTAGACCCGAAGCCGAACACCTGAAAGACACCTAAACCCTAAACCCTAAACCCTAACCCTAAATTTTCAAAGACACCTAAACCCTAAACCTAAAACCTGAAAGACACCTAAACCCTAAACCTAAAATCTGAAAGACACCTAAACCCTAAACCTAACACCTGAAAGACACCTAAAGCCTAAACCTAACACCTGAAAGACACCTAAACCCTAAACCCTAAGCTGCAACGGGCTGGGCTGGGGAGCCTCGGAGTGGGAAGCTCAGGGTGGCGAGCTGAGGCTATGTGCGGTGAGGCATGGGGAGCCTTCGCTCGGGTTTAGAAATATAGGGTGTAGGGTTTAGGGCTTAGGGTTTAGAAATTTTAGTTTAGGGTTTAGGGTTTAGGGTTTCGATACAGACTCCCGGGCAACCCCCTTCACCCTAAACCCTAAACCCAAAACCCTAAACCCCGAACCCCAAATCCCCGAAACCGTAAGCCGTCTGCATGTTGGAAAAACACATCCATTAGACATTCGTGCTTGGGTAGGACCGTTGGATGTGCGCATAGTACTCGGAGCGTCTCCCCGCAGTCGGCGAGCACGCAGCTAAAGTGCACCTCCGTGCAGCCGGCCAGCAGCAGGTCCCGTGCCTCGAGGAATGCCCGACGCAAGACGTTGCAGTCGTCCAGCTCTGGCCGAGGTGGAAGGCATTGCACATCGTACCTCGCCGAGTATCGTTTCGCCATGACTCTAGGTTTTCCACACGCAGGGCTGGACGACTATAAACGGTCGCTCCTGAGCTCGGGACTAGAGTCCACGAGCTCTTGAGGCGGCGCGAGGCGAAGGTGTTTTTGCTATGCCCTGCATGCAGCTAAGCTTGTCCACGTTTGCCCTAGATCTAAAACCAGCTACTCGATCGGGCAGGTTGGCCTTCCGAGCCCGTTCGCTTCCAGCATAAGGGCCTAGCACCATAGGTTTGAGTAGGCTTCCTACTGGAGGTCAAACTGGAGTTCCGGTTCTCGGAAATCTGCAAAACAAGCCGAGCCAAGCGCTTTCCTTTCTAACCGAGCCCGTCAAGAGTTGCGTGGCGAGAATAAACTCGTTGTTGGGCCGCTGTACTGTTATGTAATAGTTCAGACCCGGCTTTCGACTGCCGAATCATGGTTTCGTCATAGATCGGACTCGGCTTCGATCGGGTTGCTGGATTGCCTCATAGTAGGTCGAGCTGGGCTTCCGACCGCCGGACTGTGTCATAATAAATCACACCACATACGGGCTAATGGACTGTCTCCTAATAGGTCGAACCGGTCTTGGGGCTGCCGGATTGCTGGCTTCGTACTACGAAGCTGTTTCGGATTAAGTAGAATGGGGCTTCAGTCTGCTGGACAGACCCTCTCGGCTCTTTGTGACGGCCGTCGCAGACATTGCTCTATGGGATCGGGTGTTCTACGCATTCTACGCCAGAGTTTCCGGCGATAGCCCTTTCCACGAGACCAAGCTACTGCGCAGCGGGTTCATCCCCTCGAGAGGGTACCTCCAACAAAAGTCTCGTGTACTTGCTAAATCGAACCATAGCGGTCGCCCTTTGGGAACGGCTGCACGTTTCTCGGCCAGTTCATCTTCCGAGAAGTCTTCTTGAAGCCACTCCGCCGTCCTGGCCAGGGGCTGTTCTGCTGGTGTGTCGTCCTCGCTCTATCTTGCCTGGGGATTTCTGTTCTCCTTAGGTCCTCCCCGTCATCTTTCGCTCTCTCTGCTGCTGTCTTCTGCACTTTAGTTATTCTTGTCCCCTGCCTTGGATCGGGGAGCAAGCTGAAGTGGTCCAGGTCGTGCGTACACGTAGTGCACAGCATTCGTCCGGATTCCATGTACAGAGCTGGGCCCTGTGTCGCCAGGACATGCCCGGCTAGTGCTGGGGATGTTCGGTTGCGGGCGTTTGCAACTTATGCATTGCCGGTGCGCCTGCAGATGGTACTCCATGTGACTACTCTTGTGTTTCCGGTACACACACATTTTGATCTCGTCGTCTCTGCCTTGATGACTCGACGACAGGGTAACTGGAGCTCTAACCCTGGCTTCTCACTCCCCTCTTGCTTCGTCTTCACTCCACCTGATGCGATCGAGTCACTGCCTGTTTTGATGAGCATTTGGCAGCGAAGAATCGTCTGTGGCTCCCGATGAGATTGTTGGCGGGCGTCCTGTAATGCCAAGGCTGTTTCCTTGAAGCCCTAGTTGAAACCCTTCTCTCGTCTCCCCTCGCAGGGTCCACTAGGAAGCGCCAGAAATCCATTGAAATGGCGCTGAGGTCGGTCAAACAGCTACAAGATGCGGAAAGCTAAATGGCAGAAAGTCTCGAGCCCCAATACATGAAGAACTCACTTCAGCGACGGGTCTCCACGTGCTGCTTGCGTGGGCCTATACCGTGCTGCGTTTCGGTGAAGCTCTTCCTACGGGTGTGCTCGTTCTCTGCTGGTGGTTGAGGATGAGCGCCTGGCATCCCGCACGCACTGATGCTATGATGGAACCTTCGACGTAAGGCAACTGTAGACTCCTACTGGACTAGGCGGTTATCGTTGCGCTGCTACTAAGGAAATACGGGAAGACGAGTTAAAGCTTTTGCTTTCGAGCGAGGCGATAGTGACGGCTTCTTTGCGGCTCCGGGTGTAAACCCTGTGGCCTTATAGTGTAACTCGCTTCTCAGGGGTGCGCTTGTTGATGTTGTTGAATTACTCCATACTAGCTCGAACTGAACTTTGGGCTGTTGGATCGTCTCATGGTAGGTCGAACAGGGTTTTCGGCTACTGGATTGCTTCCATGATAGGACGAACGGACAGTCTAAGTGCTGGATTGCCTCACATTACGTTACACCGGGTTCTTGCTGCTTCGTCATAGGTCGGGCCGGGTCCTGCTTTGCTGACAATCATCTAAAATGAGTGCACACGCACGCAAAACAGCAAAGTAGCATGAGGAACGCGACCGATTGCAAGGAGGACTGGATCCTCTAGCCCCGGCTCTGTGCCTAAGCTGCTCCCTTGCTCGCTACTCTCGTCTCCTTGCTTCGAGGGTAGGCGCGCACACCTTTTGAGAACTTTGCTGCGACGAAGGCTGGTCACGCCATATGGCGAAAACTCCCTGACAAGGCTTTCAGCAGGTTTCGCGGGGCCATGTCGGTCTTTGT